TAAATGGTGATATTGAACTAAATTTAAACTAGATTGAAATTGAGTTAATTTTTTCCCCTCCATCTAACCAATGGATGGGGATTTGAGAGTTATATCAGATTAGACTAAGATGAAGAGAGTAAAATGTTTCTATACATCATACATGTAAGATTTAGGATTCATCATGAATGTAAGCTTTAGGATTCATCCTTAATGCCCTTCTGAACAAGTGTTGATATTTCTCTTGGGATAAGGTTTTCAGAAGAGAAAGAGAGGATCAACAAGTACATATCCACTTACTATTGCTTACTCCTCCTCTTCCATCCTATTTCTTGATCTGCCTTTGAGTTTGGCAAATTGGGGGGGGGCATTTGAACTAGTATCCACAGCCCTCATGCTTCTATATGAGTCTCCCTTCTTTTTGTTTTGGAGAATGCTCTGTATTCATTCAGTGCGAGGCCATGTGATAAATATACAATAGAAGTAAAGAAGAAATAGCTGGCTCTGGCAATCACACAGGGAGCAAGGGAAATAGGAAAAAGGCATCTAAACAAATGATTATTAGGAGTACTGTCATTGAACGGAGTTTGTGGACTCAAAAGGCTTTGATAGCCTTGGCAGCTCATGACAAGAGCCTCAGGTGATCACTGATGTCATAAACAAGAGTGTCAATTGTTAAATCAGTGACAGGAGTCACTGTGCACTTGCTCCCCATGTAGGACCTCTGTCTTTAATTAGTTGTACTATGAGAATTAATGATAAAACTTGTCTTCAAACACAACGTAATTTGTACTTTGTGTGTCTGTGTGGGTGAAAACTGCTGAAATCTTTACTTAGTATACAGTTGATCTTCTGTATATAAAGATAATAAAAAATGAATCTTAATGAAGGATGGGGTGGGAGAGGGAGCAGGGGGTAGGACGGGAGTGAGGGTGGGTAGGCAGGTGACGGAAGTGAGGGGGGAAGAACAGCTATATTCCAAAAGCTGTACCTATGATATTTATATTTACTAAATAAAAGCTTTCTAAAAAGTTGTTAGTTCAAAAACAAAGTACTGTCACTGAAGAAAAAGTTGCTGAGATTTTTTTTAAAGATTTTTTTTTTTTCTTGAGAGGCAGAGTTATAGACAGACAGAGGGAGAGACAGAGAGAAAGGTCTTCCATCTACTAGTTCACTCCCCAGATGGCCACAATGGCTGGAGCTGGGCCAATCCGAAGCCAGGAGCCAGGAGCCAGGAGCTTCTTCTGAGTCTACCAAGTGAGCACAGGGGCCCAAGCACTTGCCCCACCTTCTACTGCTTTCCCAGGCCATAGCAGAGAGCTGGATCGGAAGAGGAGCATCTGGGATATGAACCAGCTCCCATATGAAATTGAAGCAGGTGGAATCTTGGCACACTATGCCACAGCACCAGCCTGAGATTAACTTTTATACTACAACATTATAGGCCCATGTTTGTGAATAACTTCCTGTCAGTTATCTGTTCATTTTTGCCAACATTACCACCTCTCATTTCCATACCATTTGACACATTTTATTCTGTTCCCTGCTCATATTCTTTCTACCAGTTTTTGTACATCTTTGAAAGAAGATCTGTGTCTGAAGCTCTGGATCCTGGGAAAATCCTAAGTACATAAGAAGTGTTGACTGTGAAATTGAAAGTTTCAAGTTGTGTAGAGATGTTTGTTCAGATGTTAATTGCCGTGGTATTTAGAATGGTGAAAATTTAGGAACGTGATTGAATTTAAGACTTGATTCTAATTATATACAAATGAATATTATGCAAATTAATTATTAGACTAGACTGATATTTGTTGACCTAGGAAGATGTAGTTTTGGGAAAACTTGGTCTAGAACTGGCTGCAAGAGAGCTGGCTGCAAATGAACTGGCTGCTAAAATCAGAAGTGGCCGAGGGACCAAAGAAAGAGGTAGACAAATCAAGTGTATTTTTTTTAAAAAGATTTATTTATTTATTTGAAAGGCAGAGTTACAGAGAGTGAGAGAGCAAGAGTGAGAGAGAGAGAAAGGCCTTCCATCCACTGGTTCACTCCCCAGTTGGCCACAATGGCCAGAGCTGTGCTGATCTGAAACCATAAGCCAGGAGCTTCCTCCGGGTCTCCCACCTGGGTGCAGGGGCCCAAGGACTTTGGCCATCCTCCATTGCTTTCCCAGGCCATAGGAGAGCTGGACCAGAAGTGGAGCAGCCAGGACTTGAACTGGCTCCCATATGGGATGCCAGCACTGCAGACAGTGGCTTTACCCACTACGCCACAGCGCCGGCCCCAAATTAAGTGTATTTTATTATGGAGTTTACAGATGGCAGTGTGGTCTCAGGTGACTTCAAGAGAATGGGTCCCCAAGCCATGAGACAGGAGAGAAGATTTTATAGACAGAGGTGGCCTTTAGCTAAGAAGAATGCACCTGGATTTTAAAAGAAATATTAATATTCCAGGTTTCAGGTAAGAGACATTCTGGGCATCAGATAAGTGCTTCAGTTAAGAACAGCAGGTTATCTTAACAACTTTGCTTAAGCTATCAAAGGGCTTGGAATGCCCTCTAAGATCACTTAGAAGGCAAGATGACAGTTATGTCTAGGATATAAGCAATCATGTCTAGTTAAATCTCTACAGATGCCCACAGTAGATTTTAAATGGGAAAGGAAATTATAGGAGAGTGTGCAGATTGTACATTATCATGAATGCAAGACTGTATGCACAGAAGTTAATTGTAGGTCCATATGCATGGAAAGATGGTCATTAAAATGTTCACAGAAATTCATCTGAATGGCAGGATTTTGTGTGTTTTAAATTTCCTTTTTATATTTTTCCATATTTTTGAATCTTTTCAATGAGTGTTAGGGAAAAAAACCCAAAGCTTTCCCCAAATTCCATCAAAATTTTTATTCTTTTCTTCTCTCCTATTTAAAACTCTTTAAAATGTTTACTTTTAAAATTTATTTTTATAGCAGAAAGAGAGATTTATTTTCCATCTGCTGGTTTATTCTCCAAATGCCTACAAAAAACCAGGAACCCGGAATTCCATCTGGTCTCCTACATGGGTGGCAGGGACCCAAGTGCTGCCATCATCTGCTGCCTCTGAGGGTAACATTAACAGGACACTGGATTACAAGCTGAGTAGCTGGAACTGGAACAAGGCACACTCTGAACTGGGCAGTCTGATACAGGATGTGGGTGTCCCCGGTGGCAACTTAATCTGTTGCACCCCATGCTCACTGCTGAAAAACCCTTTAGGTTCTTGTTGCATAGTCATTCCCAACTGGGGCAATACTAATATTTCTGGGACACTTGACAGTATTTGGAGGCATTTTTTGGTTGTCAAGGCTACAGAGAGGGTTAATATAGAGGCTCTGGACACTGATAAACATCCTATAACGCATGGGAGAGTCCCACAAAACAAGAAATTATCTGGCTGTAAATGTTAACAGTGCTAAGGTTGAAAATCTCTGAATTCTTTATCCTTTTTTTAAAAAAATTATTTGAAAGACAGATAAAGACAGAGAAAGAGAGAGAGCGAGAAAGAGAGAGGTCTTCCATTTGTTGGTTCACTCCCCAAATGGCTGCAACAGCTATAGCTGAGCTGATCGGAAGCCAGGAGCCAGGAGCCAGGAGCTTCCTCTGGATCTCCGGGTCTCCCACGTGGGTGCAGGGGCCCAAGGACTTGAGCCATCCTCCACTGCTTTCCAGGCACATTAGCAGGGAGCTGGATCAGAAGTGGAGCAGCCAGGACTTGAACTGGTGCCCATATGGGAGGAAGGTGCTGCAGACTGGGGCTGTGTGACCAGGGCTTTAATCCATTGTGTCACAGCAATGGCTCCAGAATTCTTTATCCTGTTAGGGCTGTTTATCATAATGTAGTGGAGAAGAAAGTCCCTGCCACTTCCATGTAGTTGGATTCCAAAGCCAGATGCTTGAATTAGGGTCCCAGAAATAAGATAGGAAATCATGGGGGACAACTATAGTTAAAAAGGGAGACAGGGAAATAGTAAGGAAGATGCATGGGGAGGGTTTGTGATGTGCTCACCAAGGCAGGTAGTCATTCTTGAGGCTTTTGTGCTGTATCTGTCAATTCTACACCATGATTCCCATTTTTCAGTTTTTATTAGGACCTGAGAGACCCAGAATAACTAAACACTAAGGCCAGAAAGATCTTGATCACACAGCTCCAGTCTGCAGCACCTTCCTCCCATATGGGCACCAGTTCAAGTCCTGGCTGTTCCACTTCTGATCCAGCTCCCTGCTAATGTGCCTGGAAAGCAGTGGAGGATGGCTCAAGTCCTTGGGCCCCTGCACCCACATGGGAGACCTGGAGATCCAGAGGAAGCTCTTGATTTTTAAATTTGTAAATTTAAGCTGGCAGGTAGAAGGGAGAAATTTCTCCTTGAATCCAGAAGTGCCTCTTTAGTACCTCGGATAATAAAGCTTTATTTCTGGAATAATTCCAGCCCATAGCATATGAAGCCAAGGCAGGAGCCCTTGTTTGGACTCAATAAGACTGCTACTTCCATTTCACTCCTAAGGAGTGTATTTGCAGGGCCTAGGCTTCCTTCCTGGATCTTTCTCACCCTACAAGAAATTCAGCTGTGATGCAGCCTCACAAATATTCTTAAACTGGGCGGAGAACTCCAGAGTGAGAGCAGCCCAGGCCAGTCTAAAATGGCTACATCTTTACATTCTGTATTACCCAGTCACTGTATACAGGCTGACTTGTAACTGAGGCAGATTGAAAGCTCTGATAGGTGAAGATTGGCTACTGACTTCACTCCTCTCAGCTGTATGACAGGTTCTTCCTTGAAGGAGGATCTCAGAGGCACATTTCTGTCTACCACATAGGAGTTGAGGGGAACCACAATGTGGACTACAAGATAAACGTGTTTGTTCCCACAATTCAAAGTAAAAAATATCAAAAATAATTAAAATATTAGGGAATGCTTTTTTTTAAAAATTTATTTTATTTATTTACAAGGCAGAGTACCAGAAAGGGAGGGAGGGAGGGAGGGAGAGAGAGAGAGAGAGAGAAAGAGAAAGAGATCTTCCATCTGCTGGTTCACTCCCCAAATGGTCACAACAGCTGGAGCTGGGCTGATCTGAAGCCAGGGGCCAGGAGCTTCTTCCAGGACTCCCATGGGAGTGCAGGGGCCTACGTACTTGGGCCATTTTCCACTGCCTTCACAGGCATATTAGCAGTGAGCTGGATTGGACGTGGAGCAGCCAAGGACTTGAACTGGCACCCATCTGGGATACTGGCACTGCAAGCAGAGGCTTAGCCTACTATGCCACAACTTGGGAGAGGAAGTTTAACCTAGTAACTTATAATAACAGAGTTCTTATTCTGTTTTTGGTATATGCTAAGTGCATATATATAGAAATTTGTTTTTCTCAAAGACACATAAGAAATTTACCATCTTACAATTAAACTTCCTCAAAACAGAGAGATTAAGTGCCATGCCCATAGTCTCACAGGCATGTTAACTACAAAGACAGTGGTACTGGTGGTTGTCATGGTAGTGTTAGTGATGACATGATACTTTACTTCACTGCCTTGCCCACTTCTGTGCCACAGCACTGTCATGCTGGATTAAACGCTTATTTAGACTTTTCTGAAGGGTCAGAATGAAGAGAGTTCCAAATTTAAAGGAAGGCGCAAAGAAAAATTGTATGTTTCATATTCTTTCTCCATAGTTCCAAGGAAATTTATCCCCAAACTTAATAGGGTTAACTTTTCCACTGTCCTAGTCCCATTCCTACAGGCTATGGGACTTCTTTGCCACTGTACTGGAGAACTCTGTCTTAAGTGACCAGAACCTTTCCCTAAACCCATTGATGTGATCTTAATTCTTGTGTTTTTGTGTCCTCTATTTTCAGCAACTCTGAGAGACCCTACTGGTCATGTCAACTGTATCCCTACTAATCTTATAACTTAGCCCACTTCTAATTTTGTGATCTACACCAAGACTCAGTGTCTACCTTTCTTGGTGATCTCATCCCTAGTGTACTTATTCCCCCTACTCCAACCTTCCTGAGATCTCTTCCCCAATCATGCCTAACCTGATGAAACTGAAATCCCTCCCAATTTCAACCCCCCCTGGTGGCAGCATCATTTTCCCCACCACTATCACAGAAAACCCCACTCCTCATAGTCATCTTTTTTTTTTTTTTAATGGTTGGGCCATGGGATCACCTGGCTTCCAGCCATGGCAGCGAGGGTTAGATCCTAGGATGGTGTCTGTGGTGTGGACTGCGCCATAGATAATGACTATGCCATAGATAAAACTGTGCCATTTTACTAACACCCCCCCTTTTTTTATAAAGCAAGTGTTGTATGGGATTATATTAGTCCCAAAAGTCCAGAAGGGATGATGATCTGTCTTTAGAGCTACTTTCTGCTGACATGGGGTGACGAGGTACTTTGCTGGAATGGGGTGATGCCTCAAGCTGCTGTCTCCTGGGTGGGGAGCTGAGTATATCCCTATAGCAGCATTTGGTTAACTTCCTGGCTGATGAAGGCCTTGGTTCATTCCATTATCTCCTCCTGTAAACACTTAAACAGACATGGTAGTATAAAATACAGGGTGAGAATAGCAACCAATGGTCCTGGTAGTGGCATTAACCAAGTAATGAGAGTATTTCATAGAGGAGGGGAAACGGGAAGGGGGTTCTCTGGACCCTTGTGAAGAATAGTCATCTTCCTGTCTTCATTTGCCTCTTTCCAATTTTGGTGCACTCTTACAAACAGACTCTAAATATCATGAAGAATATCACTGTCTAAATACCAGAGGAAATTTATGAATGATCCTTTTTTATTTATACACAATTATTTTAGTTTGAAAATCAAAGGTAGAAGGATACAGATACTTCTTAGTTAAAAGCTTTTGTGGCTTCATTTAAACAAATATGAGCAACATTCAGCAAATGAGAATTGAACATTGTGTAGTTTCCAAGGATCAGTGATGTGAGAGATAGGCACAGTGCTGTGCAAGTGTTCTGTTTCCATCACTGCTGCAATTTTATCAGATTAGGAGACCTTTCCAACTCTCATCAAGTGTGTTTTCCAGGAAATGAAAGGAAAGCCATAATGTTCAAGAACACCTGTCCTGGCCGGCGCTGCGGCTCACTAGGCTAATCCTCCGCCTTGCGGCGCCGGCACACCGAGTTCTAGTCCCGGGTGGGGCACCGGATTCTGTCCCGGTTGCCCCTCTTCCAGGCCAGCTCTCTGCTGTGGCCAGGGAGTGCAGTGGAGGATGGCCCAAGTCCTTGGGCCCTGCACCCCATAGGAGACCAGGATAAGCACCTGGCTCCTGCCATCGGATCAGTGCAGTGCGCCAGTCGCAGCGCACCGGCCGCGGTGGCCATTGTAGGGTGAACCAAGGGAAAAGGAAGACCTTTGTCTCTCTCTCTCACTGTCCACTCTGCCTGTCAAAAAGAAACCAAAACAAAACAAAAAACACCTGTCCTTCATAATTTTCCTGTTAGATGACTTCTTCTGGAGACATAGTCATCTGACCTGAATCTGAGAATATGCTTAAAGTCCTTTGAAAAGACATAGTATGGAGAGTTGTCATTGGTATCTCTCCACTTTGAAGATCCAAGTCATTTGGCTGCCATTCCCTGGACTGTTTTCACTGGTATAATTTGTTTTTAAATCAGAAAGAGTTGAGGCATAGAGACATAAAATGCTTTCACAGGAAATCTTCAACTCTTGAACAGATAATGGACTTGTGTTGGCATGTTTCCTTTTTAAAATGGCAGTAGTGGGGTTCTCATTGTGACGAGGAGGTGTGTTAGGGTTGTCCAGGTGCCGTGACTATTTTGTTGAGATCGTAGGTCTCTTTTGTGGTCACTGAGTGCTACTTTTTTTTCAGGTCATCAAGCACATCCTGCTTTGTGATTTTGGCCCAGGCCTCAGGGATTTTACCTTTACCTGTAAATTTTTTCCCATATTTTTTTTCTAGATTTGATCTGAAGTGAGAGACAAACCATTTCCAATAGGGCTGTGTGGATGAATCCGGAGTGATACTCCAAGTGGCATATTCTCCTCCTGCCTGTCTATAGGTCTTGTATGGGATTTTCCGGCCATCACTGAAAACCATGAAGCAATCACTTGCCACCAAACTAGTACAGCAATCAATGACAAAGGTGTCTGTTTTATGCCATATTCCACCTTTGACAGCCAGAGGACGGTGGAAGGGGACACTGTGATCTCCCTCATGTGTTGAAATTGTGTTTGTACAGATTGCTCCACATCGGGGACATTGTTTCCAGCAGCCACAGAGGTGTTCAGAGAGTATTTTCTCAATTTCAGGAACAATTTCCTCTACTGGTTTACTGAGACAGTTCTCTTCAACTGTCTTCATTGCAGGATCCAAAGCTACACTCATAGCTTCTTTGAGAAATTCCATGTCTTTAATCTCCTGGTGTTCAATGCTTATCAAGTCACTTCGCGGAAAGATCAGTCTGCTCCCCAGCTGATCACAGAACAAATCCAGCCACTCAGATGTAGTGCTGTTTTTGTCTTTAGCTTCTGCTGTGGATTCATGAATAGCAGAGAGCAGGGCATTCTTGATGTCTTCTAAACTTCGTTTTAAAAAAGCCTTTATTGTTTCAGCTCCTGTTCCCGAACAGTATTTTCTAATATGGGTTCCAATGTAACTCCTCAAAAATGATTTTGGATCATGAAGGTATTTCCAGTACTTTTCAAAGTTTTCTTCCTCTGCCAGAGAAATGAGAATGTGTTTCTCTAAGTTAGCTCTGTTTCCATTGAATTCAGGGCAATTATTTCTCATGTCCCCAGCAATATCAGGGACTATTTTTTCCCATATTGTGGTGGACACAGCAGGAGAGAGCTTGTTCCACAGAAAATCAACGAATGTTTTGATGGAGGTTGCACCTTGGCTAGAGATTTTAAAACTCATGAAGAAATCACCTTTCTTACTCTCTAAATAGTTAACAGGATCATTTGCTCTCTTGAATGCCCTGTGCATTTCCTTAAATTTCTGTGAGGCTCTTTCAAATAAATACAAAGCTATGTCAATATTGTATTTATTTGTAAATGAATATCTCTCTTCTGTGGGTGCAGATTTCACTTCCTCATCTATTAGTCTCAGGATGTTATGGAAATAACTTGGATTGTAATCACGCTGTTGCCTCCAAATGTTTTCAATAGTTTCCTCAAATCTTGTAAAGATGCAGTTAGTAGTCATATTAATGGATTCTTCATCATGGGTCTCTATACGCATTGGGATCATGTAATATTTCTTACTCATTTTGACATGTCTGTCATAACTTATTTGAAAATGTTTTCCTGAATTGTCTCTCAGCATTTCCCACATATTTTTCTCATTTTTGAAATAATCCAAGAGGATGTTTTCAGAATCTACATCAATAGTAGGTTCTTCTGCTTGAGGGATAGTTGAAGACACATCACAGACCCATTTTGTCCAAAGTTGATTAAATTTCTCCTGTAATTCTTCCTCGCTTAATTCTTTATTCTTTATAGATAAAGCCAAGTTCCTGCTCCTTTCCAATAATTCTCTTTCATATTCTGTTTTTTTCTTATCCAGCCTTTCTTGACTTTTTTTAAAATGAATAAGTTCATTGAATTTTCTTCTGCTGTCTGAAATAAGTGCCTCTTTAAGCATTGTGAGTTTATGCTCAAAATTTGCTTTCCATTGAACCAGTATTTCACTATCTGTGTCTTCATCAAAAAATTTTTCAAATTCTTGTTTGATGGCTTCAAATTTTTCTATAATTGGAGCCTCTACTGTGCTTGTTGTGAGTGTCTGGATTTTTCCATTCTTAATCTGGTTGGTCACCTGGTTCTGCAAGTCTAATACATGACTCCTTAGTTGCCAGGTCCAGTGGTTATACATGGTTTCAAGTTTGCTCATGGCCACGACCTCCCTGGTGTTCCTAAAACTGAAAATAAAGTTCTCATTCACCAGAGCTCTCCACAAATCTTGAACACGGAATTTTACATCTGATATCTTCATGATGCTTCCTTTGGATTCCTGTTTGGCAGTCATAAGAATACTACTTTTCAGTTCTTGGACATTGTGGCTATAACGAGGATTAGGAGGGGCCATTGGGGGATTGCCATCCCAGAGGTGAGCAAAATAGTACACGTGAGTGTTGACATCAAACTTAATGACATCACTGAAGCGGTTTATGTCTGAGCACTGTTCTTGTTCTGCTGCTAATTTTGCCATTTCATCTAGTCTCTGCTCCAGTCGCCTTCGTCCCTCCATCATTTGATCTTCAGCTGTAACTTCCCCCACGTTCTGATGGACAAACAGGCAACTTGGTGAGATTTTCACTTGTTTCATCCTCAGAAAGGCTTGGACAACTATTTGTAGGATATCCTGCATCTCTGATGGATTCTCTCCAAAAATATTGATCAGAGTCAAGTTTCCAAGTCCAATGACAAAGGTTGCCAGCTCATTGTCCCTGTTCTGGGATTTATTGCTGAGTTCTGGGGCTCGAAGACCCTCAGTGTCCACCACAAGCACAAAGTCAAAGCCAAGTTCCCCTGTGATTTTCTCCTCCACCTTCAGGAGCTGCATGTAGGCTCCCCGTGTACACCTGCCTGCACTGACTGTGAACTGCAGCCCAAAAAGTGCATTCAGCAGAGTGGACTTCCCTGAGCTCTGCAGGCCAAGGATGGAGAGAACAAACACCTTTTTGTCTCCAAGTTTCTCAGTAAGCTTGTCAAAAACAGCTGCCACCCACTTTAGAGGCACATAGGAAGCATCCCCATCCATCAGCTCAATGGGAACGCCAGATATCATCAGATCTGCAGCAATTTCAGGAAGGGAGAGAAAGAGAATCTCTTTTTTGGAGGAGACTTCTTCTAGAGCTTCATAGATCTGACCAATTTCTCTGAGAAGTTGCTCAACTCCCAATGTACAGTTATTAATCTCAGTGGCTATGGCTTCTATCTCATTTTGCCAGTCTTTCAGAGAAGTGCTCTTTGACATTTTTTTCTTCTCTTTTTGTACCAGTAGCCACCATGATTTTTGTTTCTCACGCAGCTTTTCCAAGTGTCCTGCAGTCAGATTGTCCAAAAACACACTCAGCCACTGCAGGAAGTAGAGTTTGGTGTGAGTTTGTGAATGTCCCTGGAGAATTTCAAGAACAGATTGCATTAACTCATTGAGAGGAAAGGCTCTGGTCAACTGTTCATGCCGTATCATTTGTTTCTCAGTTTCAATGTCACTCTTGTGTTGTTCAATGCTCCGATTCCCCTTTTCTCTCAGATGGTAGAGTTCTTTGTCCTTCTTACACCAGAGGTGCCAGAGCTGTCCCTGAAGAGGCAATAACTCCTCCTTCATGTGAGATAACTTCATTTCTGACATGAGGGCCATTAGAATCTGTGCCTTTTCTTTGGCTTCCTTGCAGTCTCTCTGGTCTTCATCAATAATGAATCCTTGCTTGCGAGCAATTTGGGAACAGTCCTCTAAGCTGTGAGCAGTGTCAGAGGACTCCAACAGATGTCTGATTGCAGTTGTGATCTCCCCTATTAATTCTGCCTCATTTCTATTCCTGATGCCAATTCTCACTCTCTGACCAGAATTATTTGCCATGGTTTTTTCTTTATCATCAAGCAGGAAGATCAAAGGCCGTGATGCCTGGCATAGCTCACGGACAATTTTCCGGTTTTCCTCATTGTTATCAGAAACTGACATGAGGACCACAATGAGAGAAGAGATTTCCTGTAGGAAGCTGAGCTGCTGCGGGTGTTCCTTTGCATCTCCATGAAGATTGGTGAAGGTCACACAGTTGTCAAATCTGCCCTCATCATCCCCCCCAGGACAGAACCAGCAGATTTCCACTACACCCCCCATCAAGAGACAGTCTTTTGTACTTCCTGTGCAGTGGCGGTGAAAAAATGTATTGTGTTTACGCTTACCAAGAAGGCAGTTCATGACTTGAGATTTGGAAGCAGAGAAGCCATTTCCAACTCTAATGAAGGACACAATGGAGGTAGAGACACAACACATCTGCTGATTCTTGTAATTGTTCTTCTTCCCATCTGGTGATTTGCTGACTTGCTGCCAACTTCTCCTGATTTGTCTGAGAGACCAGAGGGAGAATTCAATTTGAGAAGTGCACGGATTTGGCACCAGAAGGGGGAGGGCAAATTGACAAATGGAAAGCTTGGTTAAAATATATTGTCTGGCAAAATCATCTGCACAGTGAAAAATTGCCATCTGAATATCCATTGGGTGAATGTAAGTCTTAGTGGGCTGGTATGGCTTTGTGGCTGAAGGTTTAGTGGAACTAAGTCCATCTTCAAAAAAGTCTTCATATGGATCAAAATCCTCATTGCCTTGATTGGAAGCTCCTGAGTCAACCTGGTGATCTGTGTCTCTATCATCTTTGAAGACCAGGTGTCTCAGGCTGTAATCCAGCATCAGCAGCTTCTGCAGGAAATAAAAGGGAAGGTCCTGTTCAGAGCTGGGCTGGGTGTTGCACACAGAAGTATTGTAGATCTGATGGAAGTTAGCTCTGCTCATTCTTTTTGGGTAGTAATGCTCTAAGCCTAGCCGCTGCAGTAGGTCTAGGAAGGGTCCATTTTCTATCACCTCCCTTTTTGTATTTTCATTCTCATGTGGTTCATGGGGTTGTTTCTTCTCATGGAAGACATTTTCCAATTGTTTTCTTACATCATCCATTTGCAAAGTTGGCTTTGTGGCTTCATAATCCCCATCAATGAGCAACCTCAGGTCTTTCTCTAGATTCTGCCAATCATCATCTACTCTAGGCTTGGTGAGGACATGGGCAACCTCTTCAGACAATGATTGTCCAATGTGTTGTCTCATTAATGCCAGGCGTTGTTTTTTCTCTTCTGGAGAAATAGCTGTGACTCCAACTGTGGCTGTCAGACCTGTGAGCATCAGGAATGCCTGAGCCCTGTAGCTGCAAATACTTTTGAGCTCCTGGTATTTATTCTGGGCAGCCTGCATTTCATTCAGTAGGAAGTTTAACTCGTCACTCCCCAAACACTGAAAAGTATTGTGTACCATTTGATATCCTGCAGCAGCTGCAATGGAAAGTAACAAGAGGTGTGTGTCTGTCTGTCCTGTTTCCTGGAGGTAATTTAAGAAGCAGCTGAGAGCTAAGCTGATTTCATAATTGGCCTTTCTGTGAGCGTCTTCTACTGTCTCTGGGGACTCAGATTTGAACTTCAAGTCCATGAGTTCATCGTAGGTTTTTGTTAGAATTTTAACTAATTCAGAAAATTGGGAGATGGTAACTTGCTCTGGCTCAGTCTCTGCCTGGAAGATCCACTGCATGATGGAGTGAGCCTCAGGAAAGTTTGTCACTTTGTAGATGTGTGGATCCAGAAGACTGCGCAACTGAGATTTAATAAATTTTGTTTTATAAGTGGGAAACTTCTTGCAAAAACTTACGGTTTTTACTAGAAAATTCTGCAGATCCCAATTTGTAAGACATGTGTTAATCCACATGTCATAACCTTTCACTTTTTGATTCAGCATCTGCATGAAATTTATTAATTTTTTAAGCTGCTCTTCAGGATCAGATACTTCCCAGGATTTCACATCTTCTAGGAAAACTGTAGCCTCCTTCCCAGCACTCAGTATTTCCTCCCCATCCTGGATCTGGACATTTAGGCTCGTCACAGCAGCATAGGTGTCTTTCAGGCACTTAGCCACCTGGAGGGCATTCCTAAAATCATTTCTGTGGCTAAAGAGGATGATGTCCCAAATGGGTACTAGCCGATGTCCCCGATCAATGACACACCAGGTTTGATTGCTGGCAACGAGGCCAGCTTTCCATTGCACGAATCCATCTGCTTCTGGTGGGCCACCTGTCTGGGCCACAGACAATTGCACTTTGGTTTGGAGATTTTGGGCAGTTTTTCTCTGAGAGTCTGTTTTTGAATGCGTGTTGGACACATTCCCACCTGCAACAACATTCACTCCAAAGCCACTGTAGCTGCCCATGATGTAGCTATCCAGGGCCTCGGCTGACTGCTGTTTCACTTCTTCCAGTTGCCCACTTTGGAAACCTTCTGAAATGGCCTTCCACCAGTAGATGCCTCCCAGGTGCAGAGGGCCTTGGTTAGCATGAGAGCCAAACCTGTGGAAGAAGTTTTCAGTTCTGCACCTCAGCATGGGGGTTTTATCTGGGCCAGTAGACTGACCCAGGAGGTCTTCAATGTACTTCAGTTCCTGTAGAGCAGCCGTGGATAACTGGAGCTGATCCATGGAGAAGTGGCAGGAGGCCAAGGGGATATAGCTGAACTTGGTTGAGCAAAAATAAGAGTGCTCACAATGTGATCTTCGGATTTCCTTGGATTCCGAGTGTTTGCTGTGATCCACACCAGCTTCTAGACTAAATCCCCAACCTCCACCCTTAGCAGATGCAGTTAAGCTGAAGCCCAGCTTCTCTATACTCTGAGTGAATATGGACTGTGCTTGAGAAGAGGTGAATTCTTTTGTTTCCATCCATGTACTCTGCTCAGGGCCAAAGAGTGAGAACTCCTTGGGCACACAGAGTAGCTCCTCTCTCTTCTCCAGCAGGCCTCTTTGTTGGCTGGTTTTGAAAATTCCCTGCAGGGCCAGCCCTCCAGATGCCCATCTCACCAGATCTCTATCTGGGAGGTTTTGCCTGTGGGACAGTGTCCCTTCTGTGACCTTGAGTTGTCTCTGCAAGTTTTCCATGACTTCCTGAAGGGGCTTTTCAGGTGGTGGCCAGTACTCTTCAGGGATCTCCATTGCTTGCCTCAGCTCTGCTTCCCTTCTCCTCACTGCCTCTTCCTGTCTCTGCCTACCTTCTGACAGCAAGTCTCTCAGTCCCTGCAGGGCCTGTTGTGCCTGCATCTGCTTTTGGTTTATCAGCTCCACAGGAGACTGCTCTGACTCTGAAAGACCAGACTGTGACAGTTTCAGCAGTTTCTCCAGGGCCCTTTTCTCCCATGGATGTTGTGCCTGGGATTTCAGCTTCTGGAGGTCCTCTTCATCAAGGTGTTGCAAGGCCTGGGCACAGGTCACACCTAAGTGTTCCTGCAGCTTTGGCAACCAGTACTCAACAGCCAGTCCAGCTTCTCTCAGCATCTCTTGGAGATCTTGCTTCCTTCCATCTCTGAGCAGATGTTCATCATGGGTGTGTCCTGCTGTGGCCATGGCTGTGTGGAAAACAGGAATTCAGTTAGCCTGACTGTTTCCTGACTCTAAGCGGTATCAGTCTCATGACCAATGGAGCAGGTATAGAAAAGATAATTCCCTCCTTTAAGTGTTCCAAAACAGATTTTTTGTTAACACTTTTTTTTAAACATATAGAGTTAGACAGTGAGAGATAGAGAGAACAGAGAGAAAGGTCTTCCTTCTGTTGGTTCACCCTCCAAATGACCGCCACTGTCTGCGGTGCGCCAATCCTAAGCCAGGAGTCAGGTGCTACTTCATGGTCTCCCACGCGGGTGCAGGGGCCCAAGCACTTGGGCCATCCTCCACTGCTCTCCTGGGCCTCAGCAGAGAGCTGGGCTGGAAGAGGAGCAAGCGGGACTAGAACCTGGCGCCCATATGGGATGCTGGCGCCACAGGTGGAGGATTAACCAAGTGAGCCACGGCGCTGGCCCCAACACATATTTTAAGTGCAAGTCATCATTATGGGTGTTCACAAAATCTGTTTTTTTTTTTTTTTGAATTGCCAGGGTGAGTTGCTGCTTAGCCCGAGTTTGAGTTTAGCACTTATTTCACAGAATCAATTCCAAGTAGACTGTTTACCTTTGAAATGAAGTTTGCAAATGTGTGTGAGTTTGAAAGCTTGATGTTTATTTTTCAAACAGGAGTAATGGTACCTATCACTTAACTTACCTCTATTTGTTTCTGTAAAACCTGTGTTGGCTGGTTCTATTACCACCTCTCTATGAAATTTTCTTAGGGTGTTTAATAATATGTATTTCTTTTGTTACGCTTATATATGCATCACTTTTTATTAGTAAAGTAATAATTTTATTACTAGTAATTGCATCCATTAATTCTTGTTGTTTTGACTCTGTAAATTTTCTTTGGCATTACATGGACATAAAGATCTAAAAAGAAATGGTCATTTTCCCAGGTAGGTAGATATGTAATAGAGGCAACATCCTAATAACTAACCACAGTAGCATGAGTTTTACTATGACACAGAGAAATGAGAGATTGATGCATTTTTATGTCCAGGATATTGTGAGGAAAATCCTCATAAGGATGCCATGATGACTTTTTTTTCCCTAATAAAGGTTTATTTAAGGAATACAAACTTTATGCATTTCATAAGTACAACTTTAGGAATATAGTGATTCTTTCCATCATACCTTTCCCTCCACCCACACTCCCACCCCTCATCCTCCTTCCTCTCCCATTCCCAGTTGTTGCAGGGTTTCTCCAATGTTCTCTACTAACTCTATGGTGTCGGGTCATAGATTTAGATCTTAATCAATGTTGAGTGGATTTTTGTGTAAGGTGAAAGGTAGGGGTCTTGCTTCATGCTTCTGCACATGGAAATCCAGTTTTCCCAGCACCATTTATTGAATAGATTGTCCTTGCTCCAGGGATGGGTTTTGGATCCTTGATCAAATATAAATTGGCTGTAGATGTTTGGATTGATTTCTGGTGTTTCTATTCCTTTCCATTAGTCTATCCATCTGTTTCTGTACCAGTACCATGCTGTTTTGATTACAACTGCCCTGTAGTATGTCCTGAAATTTGGTATTGTGATGCCTCTGGCTTTGTTTTTCTTGTACAAGATTGCTTTAGCTATTCGAGGTCTCCTGTGTCTCCATATGAATTTCAGCATCATTTTTCCCAGATCTGACAAGAACATTTTTGGTATTTTGATTGGTATCGCATTTTCTATAAATTGCTTTTTGGAGAATGGACATTTTGATGATATTGATTCTTCCAGTCCATGAGCATGGAAGATTTTTCCATTTCTTGGTATCCTCTTCTATTTCTTTCTTTAAGGTTTTGTAATTTTTATCGTAGAGATCTTTAACTTCCTTGGTTAAGTTTATTCCAAGGTATTTCATTGTTTTTGTAGCTATTTTGAATGGGATTGATCTTAGAAGTTCTTCCTCAGCCGTGGCATTGCCTGTGTAAACAAAGGCTTTTGATTTTTGTGTACTGATTTTATATGCTGCTACTTTGCCAAACTCTTCTATGAGTTCCAATAGTCTCTTAGTAGAGTTCTTTGGGTCCCCTAAATAAAGAATCATATCTTCTGCAAAGAGGGATAGTCTGAGTTCTTCCTTCCCAATTTGTATCCCTTTAATTTCTTTTTCTTGCCTGATGGCTCTGGCTAGAACTTCCAGAACTATGCTGAATAGCAGTGGTGAGAGTGGGCATCCCTGTCTGGTACTACATCTCAGTGGAAATGCTTCCAACTTTTCCCCATTCAATAGGATGTTGGCTGTGGGTTTTTCATAGATTGCTTTGATTGTATTGAGGAATGTTCCTTCCATACCCAGTTTGCTTAGAGTTTTCATCATGAAAGGGTGTTGAATTTTATCGAATGCTTTCTATGCATCTATTGAGATACTCATATGGTTTTTCTTCTGCAATCTGTTAATGTGGTGTATCACATTGATTGTTTTGCACACATTAAACCATCCCTGCATACCAGGGAGAAATCCCACTTGGTCTGGGTGGATGATTTTTCTGATGTGTTGTGGCATTCTATTGGCGAGAATTTTATTGAGGATTTTTGCATCTATGTTCATCAGGGATATTGGTCTGTAATTCTCTTTCAATGCTGCATTTTTCTCTGGCTTATGGATTAACATGATGCTGGCTTCATAGAAAGAATTTGGGAGGACTTCCTCTTTTTCGATTGTTCTGAATAGTTTGAGAAGAAATGGAGTTAGTTCTTCTTTAAATGTCTGGCAGAATTCAGCAGTGAATCCATCTGGTCCTGGGCTTTTCTTTGTTGGGAGGGCCTTTGTTACTGTTTCAATTTCCGTCTCAGTTATGGGTCTGTTTAGGTTTTCTGTGTCTTCATGGTTCAATGTAGGTAGATTGCATGTGTCCCGGAATGTATCCATTTCTGATATATTTCCCTGTTTGCTGGCATACAGGTCCTTGTAGTAATTTCTGATGATTCTTTTTATTTCTGTGGTGTCTGTTGTTACGTTTCCTTTTTCATCTCTGATTTTATTGATTTGGGCCTTTTCTTTTTTTAGTTAGTTGAGCCAATGGTGTGTCAATTTTGTTTATTTTTTCAAAAAACCAGCTCTTTGCTTGGCTGATTTTTTTGTAATGTTTTTTTTTTTTTGATTCAATCCTTTATTTCTTCTCTGATTTTAATTATTTCTCTTCTCCTACTAGATTTGGGTCTGGTTTGCTGCAGTTTTTCTAGATCTTTGAAATGCATTGAAAGCTCATTTATTTGGTGCCTTTCCAATTTCATGATGTAGGCACTTATTGCTATCAATTTTCCTCTACACTGCTTTTGCCGTATCCCATAAGTTTTGATATCCTCATTTACTTCCAGAAATTTTTTTGATTTCTCTTTTGATTTCTTCTATGACCCAGTGTTCATTCAGGACCATGTTGTTCAGTCTCCATGTGTTTGCATATTCCGTAGGGATTCCTGAGTTGCTAATTTCCACCTTCATTCCACTGTGGTGTGAGAAGCTGCATGGTATGATTCTAATTCTTTTAAATTTGTTGAGACTTGCTTTATGGCCTAATCTGTGGTCAATCCTAGATAAGGTTCCATGCACTGCTGAGAAGAATGTTTAATCTTTAAATGTAGGATTGAAAGTTCTGTAGATATCTGTTAGATCCATTTGGGCAATAGTGTAGATTAAATCTGCTGTTTCCTTGTTGATCTTCTGTCCGGTTGATCTGTCTATTTCTGAGAGTGGAGTATTGAAGTCCCCCAGTACTATTGTATGGAAATCCAAGTCTCCCTTTAAGTCCCTTAAGAGATCTTTTAAATAAACCAGTGCCCTATATTTAGGTGCATATATATTTATAATCGCTATATCTTCCTGTTGAATTGATCCCTTAATCATTAAATAGTGTCCCTCTTTGTCCCTCTTAACAGTTTTTGTGTTAAAGTCTATTTTGTCTGATATTAATATGGCTACACCTGCTTTTTTTTTCATTTCTGTTGGCATGGAATATCTTTTTGCAACTTTTCACTTTCAGTCTGCAAGCATCTTTGTTGGAAAGATGTGTTTCTTGTAGGCAGCAAATAGATGGGTTTTGTTCCTTAATCCATTCAGCCAGTCTGTACCTTTTGTCTGGAGAGTTGAGTCCATTAACGTTCAATGTGACTATTGATAAGTAGTGACTTTGCCCTGACATTTTCCCAAAGATATTTTCTGGTGTATACTTTGAGCTTCCTGTGATCTTTTACTGGTAGGTTTTCTTCCTTTACCTTCTTCCATATTCATGGCTGTGTTTCTGTGTTTCTGTGTGTAGCACATCTTTAAGCATCTTTTGCAGGGCTGGACGAGTGGCGACAAATTCTTTCAATTTCTGTTTGCTATGAAAGGTTTTTATTTCACTTTCATTCACAAATGAGAGCTTTGCAGGATATAACATTCTGGGCTGGCAGTTTTTCTCTCTTAGTACCCGGGCTATATCTCGCCATTCCCTCCTAGCTTGTAGGGTTTCTGATGAGAAGTCAGCTGTGAGTCTGATTGGAGATCCTCTGAGAGTAATCTGACGTTTCTCTCTTGCACATTTTAGGATCTTTTCTTTATGTTTCACTGTGGAGAGTTTAATTACAACGTGTCGTGGTGAGGATCTCTTTTGGTCATGTTTATTAGGGGTTCTATGAGCTTCCTGTACAGGATGTCTCTGTCCTTCTCCAAACCTGGAACATTTTCTGCTAGTATCTCACTAAAAAGGCCTTCTAATCCTTTCTCTCTCTCCATGCCTTCAGGAACTCCTAGAACCCGAATGTTGGGTTTTTTAATAGTATCCTGTAGATTCCCGACAATATTTTTTAGATTTCTAATTTCCTCTTCTTTTCTTTGGTCTGACTGTATCCCTTCCTGTTCTCTGTCTTCTAAGTCCGATATTCTCTCTTCTGCTTCACCCATTCTGTTTGTAAGGCTCTCTAATGTGTTTTCCTTTGATCTATTGAATTCTTCACTTCATCATGATTTCTCGTCACTATCACAGTTTCCTGTTG